GCCTAGGGCAGCTGCCCTATAGGCTTCTCCTTGTGGAGACATAGCCCAGATCACCTCATACAGTAAGTGCCTGTACATCCAGTCAAGCATTTGGCTCCAATTAAAGTTATAGATTTCTTCATCACTGGGCCCTCATGCTGGAGCCCTGGACGAACTTGTCTCCTCCCTTGTCATAGGGAGGGTCATCATTGTACTCTCCATCCTGGGCTCAATAGTCAAGCTCCAGTCCTGCTCATACCCAGGGGTCAGTTCTGTCACCGGGATTGGTGGGATGGCTAATGTTATTGTATTGGAGGAGTACCGTGTTCCCATCGAGCCAGATCTGGTTCCAGTTTCAGATGTATGCAAAGTATCATCAGTACCTCTGCCAGATCTGAAGACAATTGGCTTGGTCTCATACCCAAGGCCATAACTCTCAGTGGAGAACAAAGCCCCCAATGTAGTCATCAGCTAGGCCATCATCGTCAGGGATGAGGAAAGGTTCAAGCCTGGAGAAGGGTATGACCTCATTGAACTAGGCTCAGGCCATGTCCTATAGTTGCCGACAGATGATGCAGTTGCAGAGGTTGTCAAGGGGATCCCCCTGATTGAGCTCTGTCATAACATGGTTTGGGAGATAGAGCACATGCAGAAAGGGTTGGTCCCTGGCAAACCACTCAAGGAGTCTGTCTCCTTTGGGTGTGGCCCCTGGGAAGATGACCCATGAAATTGGGTTGACCCAGGGCAGGGAGTTGGTGTGGGTGTAACCTCCAGGGAACTCCTCATTACTGAGGGAGTTTTTCCTGCTGGGCATGCTAGGATAGTCTGTGGTGATATAATTGTTGCTTCCTCCGATGATGTGCTTGGTAATGGTGAGTGACAAAAGGCTAGTGAATGGATATGAACACCACAACAACAAAACTTCTACTACTCTACACAAATCACCAAATATATTGAGTTTGGGTGTTTCAAGTATGATAGAAGCACTCTACAGACTTTAATAATCAAGGGAAGTTGTGATAAAGACATTTATTTGTTACTAGTGAGCTATACAAAAGTACTACTCACACTAGTGGGGTTGTTAAGACACAATTGAATGAAATAGTGACTTGTTTGGAGCTACTGTGCTCGCTCTGACTGAAACTGCTTTGAAATAGTGGCTCTCTTGGCCCTATACTGCTTCCTACAAGTGATAGACACTTGACTAGTCGCTCTCTCAGCTGACTAGTGGCACTCTGGGCTTAAGAATAATACTTTAAACTTCGAGAACTCACTTAAACTAACTTTGAAACACTCTAAGCCTATGCAGGATGCAACAGTGGACTCTAAAACACTTCTATTCACTCAATACTATGAGTAACTCAGTGACTAGTCACCACTTTGTTGAGGTTAAGCACAAAAGCCTTTAATTGGGGCACTAGTTACTGACTAGTAGGTCACAATCGCAGGGATGGCTTGCCTGCCTGTGTGTGCACCTACTCTACTACTTATATACTAACTAGTAAGGTACAATCAAAGTATAAATAAACTGGGTAAAGGGGTATTATTGGTAAGAATTTCTTGGCTAGTCACAAGTAAATGATGAATGATCATGCAATAAGTAGTCTAGAGATAGTTTCTTGCTTACTAGTGGGCCCAGGAACTCTGTGAGTGGTCTGCTTCTGCACTCTCAGCCCAACAGTGCTCCATTAGTGTCACAGATAAGCTCCAAGTCCAGCATTCATGCCTGTAATAGCTGTTCGATCATGATTGAAGGTGGAGCCCAGCTATACTAGTAGTGCCAATTGTAATAGATCTCAATCGCACTAGTCAGATCTAGGCTGCTTTGCTTCTTTTACTAGTTCATTTCTAAGTCCTGTTAGAGACTGCCGCATGACTAGTCAACCCATCTTAGGCATTCCTACTCGGATCATTCCACTAGTGACTGTACTTTCATGAGATCTGTGTATTCTGCCTCTTGTTGGATGCTCTCATAGCTACTCTCATCTACTAGTGATCTTTATTTACTGACTCATACTAGTATTCGAGGTACTAGTCATGCCGGCTTATAGGTTTGACCCACTAGTGGTATCGTGCCTAAGTCCTGGCTCGACTAGTAGCTTCCTGGCCTGACTATCAGCTCGAAGCCTCTGCTATAGTCCTCTAGTTATGACTAGTCTGGGATAGATATGCACTAGTATTATTACAAAATTGCAAAATCAAGGTGTGAACACATGGCTAGCATATCACCGTTATGGACATTATCATCAATAAATTCATGTAAGGCTTTTAGTTCAGATTCAGAAAGGGAACAGATGAGACCAAGTGGAGAAGAGGAACCTTCCTCAATATTGATCTTGAGGTCATAGGGGCAATGCTTGGGGAGTTTTTCAGAAAGGGAATCACTGAATACATCAGCAAATTCATGGTACTCTGGAGGGACATCAGTCAAATCAGCAAGAGCTGCAGAAGTAGCATTGCCACTAACACTAGGCATAGAAGGCTGGAGTATGAACTGCTGAGCACCTTCTTCTGCACAAGCCTGGATAAATACAGCAGCTGAAATAATGGATATCTTGGGTGAGGCCAAAGCACTGAAGAAAGGAGTGGTAGGGTAGGAATAGATAGACTTATAGGGTGGCAGAGCCCATCAGGATCTCAGTTTTGGAGTAGTGGATGAGGATTGGGATGATTGGACTGGACTGGAAGAGTCTAAGCAGACTGGCACATATGTGTCAGCAGCTGTGGAAGCACTTGAAGAAGAAACAACTGATAATGGTGAACAGAAAGTGATACTGTGCTTTACCCAGTCAATCAATGGATTATAGCAGGAGAGCCAGTTGTATCCCAGAACGACATTACAAGATGAATCTAGATGAGTGACATAGAAGTCAATAGGAAGAATGTCTCCTGAAGGGAAATGGATGGAGAGAGAAATGGAATGAGAAATGTGAGATCTGATGAAGCTGTCAAGAAGCTGAAGTTGGACAGGAGGAATGAATTTGGTAGGGAGATTGTGATCCTCAACATACTTCAAATCAATAAAGCAGTGGCTAGAGCCAGAATCAATGAGTGCAAGAAAATAAAGAATAATGGAAATGGGTGAACCATCAGACTCTGATCCAGAGCCAACTTCAGAAGAGAGAGATACAGTTAGGGAATGGTTGGAAAGAGTGGCAGTGTTGAGGGTTACGATCTTCAATGCACAATGACAGTCAATGCAACTCTGTCCTAGTGCAGAGAATACAGGGTTGCTCTCTAGTTTTCTGATTCTGATGGAACTGATTCAATAGAGGCAGTAGACTTGGGAGCAGGGGCAACATCAGTGGCACAGCCATAAGCAGAGGCCATGGCCTTGCACTTGTTACAATCTTCAGTCTTGTGTTTATCTCCACAAAACATGCAGAGGTTGTTCTTCCAACAGTGGTCTTTTTCTTCTTGAGTAAGACAGCCATCTTTACCTAGCTTGTCAGCATAGGGCTTGGGGTTGGAAGGGGAAGAGGAATTGTTGGATGAAGATGACAATGAACCTGCAAAGTCTAAATTAGAGGACTTCTGGCTCACGGAGTTGGAGTTGAAAGATGAAGAGTTAGAACCCTTTGCCTTGTTGCTGTTGTTGGAGAAAGAGGGATTACTGTGATTTTCTCAGGAGATTTCAGCCCTCCAAGTCCAGTAGCAAGTGTTGAGCTCCTGAGTGAGATTCCACATATCATAGAGGTTGTTAGGTTTTTCATGGTGAGCCATATCATCCTTGATGCAGGGGCAGAGTCCATGGTAGAAAGCGTGGTGAAGAGAATTATCACCATAGCTGATGATAGTGGCATACTAGTTGAATTTGACAATATACTTCATAATGTGGTCTCCATTGCACATCTGAAGATTTTCGAGTTCATCTTTGGCATCACCAACAGTGTTGAAGGGGCTGAAGTTGGTTTGGAGTTCTGAAAGGAAGGCAGTATAGGAGTATGCCCAAGCAGGAGGGTTGCGGTGATTAGGGTGGAGGATATCTGGTTTGAACCAATCAAGGGCAACACTGGACAGGAAGGAGATAGCATAGTTGACCTTCACGGTGTTTAATCAAAACACATTGGGACAGTCATTGAATTTCAACTGGAGGGAGACAATGAAGGCTTTAAGTTTTCAGGAGTCTGAATCATCAAAGGTATCAGGTTCCTTGACCTTGGTGCATACAGCATGCTGATGGTTGCTATTGACAGCATCAGAGATGCCACAAAGGACATTCATGAGTTGAATGAGGATCTGGGCATTGTTAGGAGGGTTAGGGTTGTTATCAGGATTGTTATTAGGACCTCCTCCAGGGCCACCAGAGTTACCTGACAGATGTCCATGGCTATTCATTGGAGTTTCTGAGACATCACCTTTGTCATCTGAGCCTAGATCATTATTGTCTCAACCTTGGTTGTTGTCGAACAAGGAAGTAGAAGGCAGATTCTGTGGGGGGTTACTGCAATATTCTCTCCAACCAGTGGATTCTGATTCCTAGGCTATGAAGGGGTTCAGGGATTTGCTGTTGACATCGGATTGGTGGGCAGTAAAACCACTATGAAGACAGGTTTCCCTATAAGAATATTGAGGCAGAGTGGAATCTGATCCAAAGGAAAGACAACTTGATTTCAAGGCAGAGGTGAGAATGTCATCCATGGTATAGGTGGCTGTGAAGTTTCAGCTGGTTTCTGGAGGAACAGTAAAGGTAGAAGACATGGTGAGAAAAATGTCAACTCAATGGTTTGAGTTCAAATATACTGTTAGGATCATGCCAATAGGAATGCGGCAGAAGTTGCATATAGCAGAAGCCATAGATTGCATTGGGCATAGGCAAAGCTATTAGCAATGTCACTCCTGAGCCAAAGCCCTAAGATAAGTATGGATAGAATCTGCAGAGTGACAGAGACAGGGTAAGAGATAAGTCCAATGGATTGGAGTTCTGCAGACTGGAGAGTGAGGGTTTAGACTTAGAGTCAGAGAGAGAGAGATTGGGCTGAACCAAGTTGATATTTAAACTAAGTATCTACAGTGTAATTCTACAGTTTATATACTAGCTAGGAGTCCAATCTAGTTTCTACTTGGTGTGGTCTACATTCTAGGGTTGTCAGAAGTTATAGTCTACCAGTCAGTAGCTGATGGAGTCTGATGATGTGCTATGCTACCAATGTTGAGCTATTGATAAATTAAAATGGAGAGATGAAATATAAAATAGAATATGAAATAGAAAGTGGAAATTGGGATCCATAGGATTCCAAAATATGTTTTGTTGGAATTGGCTTGATATCTGAGTTCTGTCAGCATGCATGTTACAATGGCTTTCTTCAGTATGCTTTTTGCTCCTGGCTATTGACTCATCATTTGCAAGATATCTTCCAAGCTTTGAAAACATTGTGCTACTCCAAGAGAATCACCAATGGTCTCAAACATGTCCATGGCTTTCTCCACCTTGCTTTTGGCTTCTGGATATTGATTCATCATATGCAAGCTATTTCCCAAGCTTTTCAAACACTATGCTACTCCAAGAGAATCACCAATGGTCTCAAACATTTCCATGGCTTTCTCCACCTTGCTTTTGGCTTCTGGATATTGACTTATCATCTGCAGGTTATCTCCTAAGCTTTGCAAACACTGTGCTACTCCAAGAGAATGATCAATGGTCTCAAACATTTTCATGGCTTTCTCTAGCTTGCTTTTGGCTTCTGGATATTGACTCATCATCTGCAGGATATTTCCCAAGCTTTGCAAACACTGTGCTACTCCAAGAGAATGATCAATGGTCTCAAACATTTTCATGGCTTTCTCTAGCTTGCTTTTGGCTTCTGGATATTGACTCATCATCTGCAGGATATTTCCCAAGCTTTGCAAACACTGTGCTACTCCAAGAGAATGATCAATGGTCTCAAACATTTTCATGGCTTTCTCTAGCTTGCTTTTGGCTTCTGGATATTGACTCATCATCTGCAGGATATTTCCCAAGCTTTGCAAACACTGTGCTACTCCAAAAGAATCATCAATGCTCTCAAATATTTGCTTTGCCTCACTTATTTTCTTTTGTGCTACTTGTTGATCAGATATATCTAATCTTTTGCCTAATAATAATATTGCATAAGCATTCAAATATAGTATATTTAGATCTTTTGTTATAGCTATAACTTTTTGCAATAAAATATATGATCCTCCAGCAAAATATTGAAAGCAGCAAAAGTTAAATATTATGTTCAGTTCTTCTTCAGTATCACAACTCTTTAAAATCTCATAGAATATCCATTCACAATTGTTTAAATGAGCTAAACCAAACTTTGTGTTTTCTGGTGAAATCAAGGAATGTAATTGTTTGTCTTTAGTTTCATTCAAATAAAAAGAGCAAAACTGCTGTTTTATATATATATCTGGCTGTGGAAAATATACTTTCAGATATTCCTGGATTGGTTGCAATATTTTCAATCCATCTTTATTATCTTTGTATATAATTCCAGACTGTAACAAATTAGATATAATTCCTGTTTTTTCTGAAAGATCTGGTAGCATTTTGCTCAACATTTTTGACCATGTAGGAATACCATCAGAAAGATAGCATATCACACTCAACAACTTGAGAATGTTGGGTTTTGAAAGCAATGGTGACTGAAGAGTTATTTTGATTGAAATATTAACACTTGTTAACCGAGATTGAATGCCTGGTTTTTCTAATAATGAGGTTCTTTCTTTATCCCAGCTCTCTAGAAGCAGTTCTGGATGAATAATTTTAGCTTGATGAGCCATTAATATAAGAGCTAATGGCCATCCATCTAGTTTTTCAAGTAGCTTTGTGACAATTTTCATATTATCACTATATCTTGAAATTGCAATAAACACATCTAATGATGAAGATTCAGCTAGTTGTGATAGACCATTATGTGGTAGTTCTAGCCAATCAATATTGTCTATTGGAGAAACACTTCCTCTCATAGTAATCATCAGAGTAATATGTTTTATAGTATTCAACTGCTCTAAAAGTCTTTGAACACTTTGATTACTACTGTTATCCCAAACAGTTTCAAAATTATCAAAAAGTAGGACTACTGGCTTTGATATAGCATATAGCTGTTGTATAGGATCACTGGTAGTTTGCAACCTCATCAATCTCATTACACTCTGCATTAATATTCCAATAGTAGACTCAACACTGCAGACTTCATCACAAGGAATGAAGTATCTGCATTCTCCATATTTGTTTTGTACAGCTGCATCATCTAGCAATTTCAGTGCTAATGATGTTTTTCCCATACATCCAAATCCCATAATAATAATAGGATGAGGAGAGTCAGCAAGAAGATTAGCTATGCCTTCTTGGACTAAATTATCTCGACCCTTAAATATAAGAGGTGGTGGTGGTGGTGGTGGTGGAATAGCAGAGAGCATAAAGCTACTAATCAGTGGATTATTATGAGATCTATTATACTTTAAAATATATACAGAAACATACTTGATAGGTTGAATCATTCTTAAAGAACTTATCTATGAGGATATTAGTATACATCAATGCAGTAATGAAAAAGATTTACCAGATGATCATGAATCTCTCCAACCTGTTTGGCAACTGAAAGCACAGTAGTTGTCTAGAGAAATGTCAATATCCTTTTAATAAGCTATAATAGAGAAGAACATACAACAAGCTGGTCTTGAGCTTCCTTGATATACTCTTTATGCTGGTTGATATGTTTGAGAATAGCTTCTCTCTGAAACATTTTCTTCATAGTAGCCTGAAACCCCTTCTTCCCATAAATCTTGTTCAAGTCATCCTTCAAAGCCCCAAGGTGACTGATGATAGCAGATGTCAGTTCCTAGGCTCTTAAACAACATAAAAGCAAAGACGGACATGACAAATTCATCACCCATTTGCTGTAGGCATGCTAGTGGGCAGGTTGAAGCATCTGTCAAGGATTGACCCTCTTGAAGGAGCTTGATCTCCTCAGAGACATAGCTGAGCATATGATCAAGGTACTTGATAGTATCCTTGAGCTCTTCATGAGCTTTCTTATTATTCTGGATGACATGAACTTTTTAGTATGCTCCATTGATGTAAATAGCCATAGATTTGCACCTGAACCAGCTCCAGAATTGGGAGAGCAATATTTGCAATTGTCTTTGTGATGCCCGTGTGATCGAGTTCACCTGCACCTGCAAGCACCTTGAGAGTGACACTGGCATTCGAAATCCAGTCTGTATCATCAGAGGCAAGATTCGGAGGTGCAAGGATTGCAGATCGACCAGGTGCCACTGCACTTGGAGACTGAGTGAGAGATTGGGATGGAGCTTGCATTCTTGAATTACGCTGTATGGTCGATGGTGAGGGTACGAGTGGAAGTAGTATGTGCTGTGGTGATACTAATTTACGGGCTGTGCGAGTTCACCCACGCTTCACAGCTTTCCACCACCATCATCATTTATCTGGCGCCCGGGCCGTTATTGCCTCATGCTGTCTCGTTCTTTTTCCGATGAAGACGTGGTTTGTTTCGATAGAGTCGAGGACCAAATATTGCTAGAAACCGAGGCGATGGCAAGGGTAGTTGAACGAGCAATTATTTTGGGGAATTTCTTACCGTGAAGGACGGTGTGCTATCGTGCGTCCTGCTTTTTTTCTTGTTTTCCTGCGTTGCGTTCTCATTATGCAGCAGAAGCGCTCCTGCAATGACTGCAACCTCGTTTTCCAAGTCCTCGCTCCTGAAGCATTTATGTCTTGACTCTACCTCTTACTCCTTCCATCGACAACAGGCAATCCATGTACCTCTCTAACGACTATGCCTGGCCCTCGAGGAGGCCAAGGGGTCAGAAGATCATCAGTAACGGGGACGAACGGCGTCGTTTTCCTCTTGTTGGACACCCTGGGCTCGACCCACAAATCTCTGAACTCGCTCCAGCTCGGTCCATCAGCAGCCCCTAGTCGCATCGTCCTCTTTGCCAGGTTTCCTGCATCGACAACCATCAGGACGTGCCCATGCACATAACCTGCGACGTCATCACCCCAGAGAACGCAGTCCGCAGTGCTCAGTTGAAGAGGAAAGGCGGGTTGGTATGGGAGGTCGAGAGATAACGGCTTTCCTTTCGGATGTCGCGCAACGATGAGATAGAGACGATGGTCAGGATCTCCCTTTCCACGTCGTGGTGCTGCAATACATGTCAGCTTTCTATCTTACCTCGTCCATTTTCTGTTGATTAACGATCGAATAGGTGTATTCCTATGGTACCCGTGTTCTCAAGTACGAGCCTTGCCACGACCAAGTAACGATGCATCAAACCCTGTCCTCCAGGCTTTTTTTTTTGCATAGCATCGTTACCAGCCGATGTCCTCAAGTGACGAGATTTAGCTCGCCGGGCTCGTGTCGCGTCTAACTCTCGACTACTTATCAAAAGCATTCTCTGAACAGGTCGTCCGGAGCTCGAATGGTACAGCGCCAACACGATGAAAGGACCCTGAGACCATGCATTCGTGTATTCGTATGCTAGGACGGAAATGCTACGATCCCACAATCACCCCGTCGCTCACATCCCCGACGTTTTGATGGGATGGCGAGCTTCTATCCAGCCAAGGATACACCGTGTAGCGAAGAGATGAAGAAGATGTTGTCTTTTGCTGAAGGTGCGTGCATTATCGCTCTGACTCCCATGTCCATATCTGATGTGTCGTTCCACTAGGCTCACTACACATAGAACTTTTGTTGGAGGAGCTCCGCGTCACCCTTTATACATGTCTCGCAGGCTTAGGATACCCTGTTCAACCTCCCAACCTCGGAACACATTTTCATTGTCAAGGACCTGAACCTGTTCACTGGCTTCACCCTTTTAATCCCTCGCACGCATCCCTCCGAAAGAGCAGACACCGCCGCTTCTGCTGTTAGAGCATGTGCTATCTGCACCGTAATCGTCGAGACATGGGGATCGCCGTCTGTGTCGAAGAGCATGCTCCAACGTGGCCGAAAGAAGAGAAAGGATTATGGCACGAGGATTTGACAGATAGGAATTTCGAGGCTGGTCATACGTGGCTCAGTCTCAGTCCATTACCACTCGTTTCTACGATATAGTGCCATCACGAGGTGCATTACACGTGCAGATGGGGAAGACGGGTCTCTCGTCAGTCCCTGCACGCTCCTATGATGCTGAAGTGACGATTTACCGAACTCCATCGTCAGCAGCTTTCGAGTGTTCGCTGGGATCATATTCCTCACAAGCTTCGCAAGTGCTTGCCAAAGCTCCGTGTACCGGCTAGTCTAAAGCTCGTGCAGAGGTCCGGCTGGCGACCTGCCTGTGACGTTGTTCTGTTCCTTCCGCACCATCATCAGCGAATCGATACATGATACATCTCGGCTAGATTGGACGGACGGAAGGACTGCAAAGCTGTATCAAGCATATTGCTCTACATCACTGGCGTTTCGAAGGAATTCGTCTTGTTTACTTGACCGGTATCCGCCGTAAGTGTCTTATTCGTTTGACATCTTGGCTATATCTGACACTTCACTCTGGTAGGCATTGTCTGTGTCTTCCTAAACTGAGGAAAGAAACGTTTCTATTCTCAAACAAGCCCTCTTACGAATATCGACGATATACCTCACCGCAAGAGAGGGAAGCACGTCGTATCATACCCTTCGCCCATCCTCACACAGCTCCGAATATGATGCCTACACGCTTTCCTGTATCCGTTGTACTGCTCCCCAGACCACGTTCACCCTTACAAAGCACTTGGATGAGCATAGATTAATTCCGTGGCGAGAGAAACCACAGCTTACTGCACCTGGAGTAGTTTCCTCCTCCTCGACGGCTCCACGACATTGCAACCCACCCTCTGGAACACTCACTCTATTACGCCAACCCACCTCTCCATCCCCAACTTGTCAATCTCTCGCCCTGATGTTACTCTTCGCCTTCGCCATTCTCCATCCACGACGAAATCGTGCCTGTTTCTTCTGCGAAAGAGAGAGATTGCCGGTCATATTCCCTTCTGCACCGATCGGGCTGTGTTCGCCACTATGAACACTTTGAAGGGTGTTCGAAGTAGGGGGAACAGAGCGTATTAACACACTTGGGATTGCTTCTCTGTGATGTCGTCCTCGATGATTCGCCGATTACGCTCATGCCTCCGTCCATCCCAACGCGTCACTCTCGCTGTTGTACCCTGATGTTGATCTTCTCGATCTCCACCCACTGCGGAATCGTACCTCAGTCCTCGTCGTTTCTTCCTTGAGAGACGTATTCGTGGAAACGTCGTTCGGGCGTGGGACTAGAAGAGACATCGATTCTTGACCGAGTGTCAGTTGGGCTTGAAGACTATAACATTTACCGAAACCTGGTGTTCTGTGTAACAGCAGATGGGTTTGGCTTGTAGGAAGGACGGAGGCGAAGAAGGTGCGGATAGTCGAGAAGGGCATCGATGGTTACCGGTCACGTTGTGAGCAGTACGAGTATTTTGTCAGTTCAATGTGTGTCATTGGTTTCGTAGAACGTGTCTCCTTGTTACTTCTAGGAGAGGAAGCAATAAAAGACGTATATATTCCTACCTTGTTTAAGCAGACGTAAAGCGAGTTATACGGAGTCCAGAGCGTTCTCACGCCACCCTTCTTTCTCTTCGACCTCCATGGCACCTTGACTTTCACCGGCCCTCGACGCGAATGCAAGGACCGTGAATTCGGATGGCTAGTCTCAGCAAATTATTGGACTCTTCGAGTGCGTTCAATCCTGATCCTGTCATCCGGCGATTCATGGTGCATCCAGACACGGCTGATAATAGCTACTGCGAATCTACGTCAAAATAGCCCGTTTTGACCTCAGCACATCAGTATGGATTAGGAATGTGACGTTGGAGTCTGGTGTGAGGGGGCTCAGCGGCTTGATAGTATGGTTTTGGTCCAGTGCGTCAGCTTGATCACTCTTTCTGAATGTTGTACTCATTCTTATTCATAGGTCGACGCATCGATGTGTGCCCACTTCTCCACCGATTCTCTACAGATCCCCTCCCCATTCGCTGAAGTAGTATCCCTGTCTTCCGCCGAGGATAAGGAGCAGCTAATGCCATCAAGCGCGTCAGTCACCACCACATCACGTCTGACAACGGCGTCACCGACATCGACTTTGATTGGTGCACATTCTACGACAATTATCACGATCATTCCTTCTTTCAACAATCCACCCGCACACTAGTCCCATCTGCACCCTATTCCACTTCTTGACCTCAGCTTTTTCAATCTGCCAAGCGACGTCACAGACTCGCTATCAGCAGCTCAGAACTTCACAGTTCACGATAATCGACGCCCATATACATCTTCTCTCCACGTTTACTTTGTATCGCTCAACATACCCAGAAAGGGGGTATGAGACCACGTTTGACTTTGTCAAGGGCGTGTATGTGGATAACGGAGGGAGGCATAGTCGACGCGTGGTACGAGCCGGAAGTGTTCCGAGAGATGTGAAAAGGCCCAAGGGCTGGTGGGAGGGCATTCACTATCGATTCGTTATTACATAGTACGTTCATCCCTTTTCCTCTCTGACTTTCTTGCTAACTCGCAAGCAAGCATTCACCCGTACATTCTACCACGGCTCTCGTCCAGACAGGAATCCGAGATTCTCACTACACTATCACATTCATAGTGCGTCCGCCTGGGCGAGATCGGACTCGACTACCACTGCACGCTGTCGCCGCCAGATGTTCTACAAGGGTAGGATAGCTGTGGAACGCATACCTATTATGGTGCTTACACGCACGGGAGGCTGGAGAAAAGAGCGAGAATCATGAAGGACATCGTGCCCAAGGATCATCGAGTACGTCTGCTTTCACTGTATGCATTCTTGCTAAATCTACCGTACAGGTCCATACTCACTGCTTCACCGACACCGCCGCATCCGGCCGCAGTTTCCTGGAGTACTTCACATCGATGTGACAGGCGTCCTCTGCTACAGGCCAGGCCCTCTGCTACGCAGCAAACCTCATCGCTGCCGAACAATGCCGGCCACCGATAAGCGGATCCTGCTGGAGACCGACGCGTCGTCCTTGGTCCCGGCAAACGTGTATGGCGCGTTAGAGCCTAAACAGTCGAGGTTTCCGTTTTCGCTGGATGTAACAAGGGAAGGTGCCAGGACGGTGTATGGGGTGTAATGTAAGTAATTCTTGCCCAGTATAAATCTATGTCGGGAGCTAATCTAATACGCAGGTCCGCATACGAGAATGAAAAGATATCCTTAGATGCGATATAATGCATCTAGATTTCCAGCTCATGCAAACTTTTGCCTCTCGTCATAACAGGTCACCCGGGCCTCTCAAGTCGGTGGTCAGTGGTAACCGCCTAAACGATTTCGTGACCTGCCTGGCCTCGAACTGTAACTTGCTATGCAAAACACTGGGCTCGCTCTACTTTCGCCCCGATGCTATGCCCGGTTGGTCCAGCAATAGTCGTGATCCAAAGTCAGATCGCCGTCACCAATACTTAAGGATGATGAGGCGCTTGTTTAGATCGTGGAAATTCTGTTTTCCTCTATGCAAGCACTTCTCACTAGGCCGGTGTATGAGACCCCCCGCATTGAAGCGAGATAGCTACACTTCTCCGTCCTCCGGTACTGTTGTTGTCAGAGTCAGCAGAGCGTCATCGGAAGAATACAGCACGGTGCAAGCCGCTCGTCGATGTGCCCGACCAAGTTATGCGGGGACGTTTATGTCGATCGGGACGAAATCTCATCAACATCCCCGGGGCGAAGGGAAGATCGCTCAATTATTATAATCTTTCTTCCTATCGGAATTTGCTGCTATCCTTTGTGTCGACGCAAGAAAAGCCATCGATATGCGCCCGCTCAAGACGGTTCGAGGATAAGGAGGATCTATTGCACATCGTACGCTTCGATAATGAATGTGTGCTCTGTCGGGCAGTTACTTACTGTGCATAAGGACTGTGTGCTATGGTGCGTCCTGCTTTATTTCGTGTTTTCTCTGGGTTGCAGTCTCATTATGTGGCAGAATCCTTTCCTACGAACTCTCGTGTCTCGATCCTGCTAGGCCTGAAGCATTCAGGGCTCTACATCTTACCCATTCCATCGACCACAAGCAACACGTGCATTTTTCCGACGACCGTGGTCTCGACGGCAGGCAACGGGTCCAGAGGGTCATCAGTAGAAGGGACGGATAACACTCATTTTACTCTTGTTGGACGCCCGTGCTCGACCCACGAATCTCTGGTCTCACTCTCTCTACCCATCAGCCGCTCGCAGTCATGTCCTTACTTCCTACATCAACCGTCACGGCGAGCCCTTCGCCCAAGTCCAGTTGCAACATCGCGGGCCTTGAAGGATGCGCTCTGCGAATGGAAAATGGCGGAACGACGTCAGAAATTGACGTAGGGAGTGCCCCTCCTCCCCCTCCCCCCATACGACTATCGCGATCTCCCATCCTCCATTGAGGTGTTGCAATCCATGTAAGGCTTTCTCTTCTACCTATATTTCTTACTGAGGCCGGCAAGATGAACATGTTTTTACGGTGTCTGTATTTACAACTCCAGACTAACTCCTCCCAAGTGACGACGTATCAAGGTTTCTTGCCGTTCAACCTCGACCATCGAACACCTCTGCATAACGCGAATTCATGGGCGTCGTCAGCTGTTGCCATCCTCGAGTGACGACTTTCAAGCTCGGAGGCTCAAACTATCGATGGAGATGTACCGTGAACAGTTGGTCTGGCGCTCGAATGGCACGGTGGTGGCAGGAATGGTCGTTCAAGGGTTGAAGGGATCTCGAAGCCACGCATTCAGTTCGCTACTCTCTCCTACGTGATACGATGCACATACAAGTTTTGCGAAATCTTGGCCTGCTACTATCACAACAATCACCTCATCGCACATATCCCCGATACTCGTCCATCTATCCAGCCAAGGATACGCCGTGGATCCAAGAGACGAAGGAGAAGTTGTTTCTTTTTCTGAAGGAACATACGGTGCGTATCTTATTATTTTGACTCCCATATCCATACCTGACGTGTCATTTCGTCAGGCTCAGAAGGATAGCGACCGCTCGTTGGAGGAGAATACCGTTTTCGTACTCTGCTTTTGGCTACCACATTCCACAAGTATCACCATCTTTGGAGGCTTCGAAGCCTTGGAGCACGCTTTTATTGCCCAAGACCTGACTCTCCTCGCTAACTTCGCCATAATAATCTCTCCTCATCATATATTCACAGACAACACCATCTTAGCTGCTAGCGCATATGCTATCTGCACCATAATCATCGAGATATGGAGGATCGCTATTTGCTTCGAAGAACGTCTTTCAACGTGGTGGAAAGAAGGAAAAGGGTTATGGCTCGGGGATATGACAGATAGGAAGGTCGAGATTGGTCGTATTGCGGCTCGATCTACGGTCTCCTTTCGATGGTTGTGCTTCGTGTAGATGGAGAAGATGGCTCTCGTCAACCTGCAGCATAGGCGCCGCGATATCGCTCCTACGATGGAGCGACAATTTAGCAAACTCCGTCACCGGCTGCCTCTGACTGCTTGCTGGGATCGTATGCCTCCTCTCCCTGCACCAAGCAATCGAGTGCCTGCAAAGGCTCCGTGTATAGCTAGTCCAAAGCTCGATATGACGCGTTGATCAGAGGCCTGGATAGAGACCACATGCGACGCATCTCTGTCTCTTCTGCACCATCATCAACCGAATCGATACACGTATAAATCTCGGCTAGATCGGATGGACACGCTGCAAGGCTGTATCAAGCATATTGCTCTACCTCACCGACTTTACGGGGAATCAGTCTAGTCAATAGGGATCGGTGAAAGAGAATTCGTCTCATTTCAGTGGGAAGAGAGCCACGGTACGTGTCGTATTTGTCTGGTGTCGCATTGTCTAAATCTGACGTATCGTTCCGAAAGGCCTTTACTGTGTCTTCCTGGACAAAAGCAATGGCAATACAGATCACTTTTATTCTAGGGCAAACCGTCTTTTACGAACATCGACGATTATACCTCGCAAGAGAAGCACGTCGTTTCACACCCTTCGCCCATCCTCACAAAGCTCTGAACGAAATCTGCATGCTTTCATACACCCGTTGTAGTTCCCTCGTGCACCAATGATCTACTCCCCAGACCACGTTCGCCCCTACGAGTTGGATGAGCATGTATTGATTTCGTGGCAAGGGAACTCATCATCTTCCTCCTTCTCGACGGCTCCACGGCACTGCGACCCACCCTCAGGAAGACTTGCTCGATTACGCTAACCCATCCTTCCATCCGCAACTTGTCAATCTCCAGCCCCGATGTTGATCTTCGCCTTCTCAATCCACGACGAAATCGTGCAAGTTCTTCCACGAAAAAGAGAGAGAGGATGTCCATAATGATTCCCTTGTGCATCGATGACCTGTGACCTAGGCTATGTTCGGCCCTACGAAACGCTTCAATGAGTATTCGAGGGAAGGGGAACCAGAGCGTACAACACTTGGGAGACCACTCTCCTCCTGTGAGGTCGTCCTCGACAGCTCGCAACCCACTTGCTCGCGGACTACGCTTGTGCTTTGCTCCGTCCCCAACTTGTCGCTCTGCAGCTGTGCTACCCTGATATTGATCTTCTCCATCTCCACCCACCACGGAATCGCGCCTAGTTCAACATTGTCTCGTTGACGAGAGACATTTTTGAGCATTCGGTAGTGAACGTTGTTCGATGGAAGCAGAAGAGACGCCATTTCTTGACCGAGTGTTGGTGGTACTTATAGACTACCCGAGGCCAAGAGCGAGTGTTATGTGTAACAGCGGAAGGGTCTGGCTTGTCCATAAGGAAAGGAGGACGGAGGCGAAGAAGGAGCGAACTCACCGATGGTTATGTTGTAAGCAAGGCTAGATATTTAGCAGTGCGTGCGCTGGTGTAGTCGCACCTTCTTCTGCCGAAGCCATCACACTGAACTCGAGGGTTCCCTCTGCGGTTACGTCCTTGATGTACGCCGGGTGCGTTCGAGGGTGTCCTCGTCTGAGTATTTGTCGGTTCAACGTGATCGTCTCGTGCGCCATCAATGCCGTAGACTACGTGTTTCCTGTACTTTATTCTAGCAGGCATTGACGTGAGGAAGAGATAAAAAGAAAGATATATTCTTACCTCGTGCAAACAGATGAAAATGAGAAGTTGATGTCCGGAAGGACGTGTGTTCTCACGCCACACTTCTTCTCTTCAACCGTCCGCGTCAGTACTAGCACCATCGTAAACCTTCACTGAAACACGACGCGATTTGCAAGGATCGAGGATTGGGATAACTGGTGTCAGTAGATGATTCGGTCCTTTGAGTGCGTCCAATCTTATCTGTGTCGACTAGTAATTCACCGTGCATTCAAACATGAGCGAAATTGCTTGCTTCGATCTCAGCTACGTCAGCATCAGTTCAGCAAGGGTCTTTAGAAGCTTCTTCACTTGCGATAAACTATGGGCGAACGATGGTACTAGAGGGTGATTATTAGCTGGTGCGGCGACTAGTATTGTTTTGTGCGTCAGCTTGTTAACTCATTCTGAATCTTATACTCATTCCTATCTAGATATGGTTGTGTAGGTCGACCCCACTCAAGATGTCATTTCTGTTCGAGGAGAAGGAGGAGCCAACACTATTAGGCGCGTAGGAACATCAGTCTCTCCGCCGTCCCGATGTTATGTCATGCGATGCTCCGCTGTCAGCGTTATATGCTTTATGCTGGATCTTCGACGTTTCCTTCCCTCCCAGTGCCCTCACCTTGGAAAACAATCCGACCACAACGTTACCGATATCGACTCTGATTGGCGCACAGCCATTCCTTCTCTCAACCAATCCGCCTACACCCTTACCAGCTCTATCTGCACTCCTTGACCCTCAGCTTCTTCAACTTGCCAAGCGACATCATCCAGACTCGCTATCAGCAGATCAACCAATCCCACGCTTCCCCCCATGCTCACGTCTAACTCAGTCTCCAGCGGCACTGTCACCTATTCTGAAAGCACCCTGCGGCGCCATAATCACCGCCCGTGTCAATATGTTTGGCCCCGAAAATGTCGCCGAAACACCCAAGAACCCCGAGAGGGTATCGAAGTACACGTAATCCAAACGGAGAGAGGCTATCTGGGACGCGCCATGCACGAGAGGATCCTCTAACAGGGGGCGTGCACGTCTAGGACGTTAGACTCGGCGGCGAGACGAGGACGGTAGGCAGGATTGGGTCGCGTAGTCGATGTCCTTCTCCATGTCTTGTTGACGCTACCATCCTTCGACCACGACGTTCATGCACTCCAATGTGCTTATTCACTCGTGTTTCAGAGCCTGATCCGGCACCCACCACGACGCCGTTAGATCTTCGATGCTCCCTCTCATTTCGTTGCCGCGATCCATCTGCGCACCCTTTGGAAAAACACCGTATGATATTATCCATCTGCAGTACCTCCCCCTCAATTTCTTCGAAAGACGTCATCACGGACTCCATCAGTGGTTCACTCACCTTCAAGTTTCCCCTTCACGTTCGCCCCCAACTCCTCAATTTCCAGCAACGGCATCACCTGTTCAATAATCCCCACCGGACATGGCAGCACCATACTCGTACTCACACCCAACGCTAACCGCCTAGTTGAGTGGGGACGGGAGGGATGCTCGATTGTTATCCTGCTGAAGATGTATATGTGCGTCCAGGAATTGCGGCTCGAAAGACGGCAGAACCTAATCGTTGCGATATGCGGATAGGGCATGGTGCCGGCAATGCCTTACAAATCGTGCTATAATATCACGGATCGATCACACCTTGGGTATTCGCTGAGGGAAAATGAAACAATATGTTTTTCTTTTGGTTTGTGTCACCTTTTCCGTACTTATGTTGGTGCTACGCTTGTTCCAGGACAAGAAATTCTAGTCTCCGTCATCACTTGCATGGATCCTATCGATGGTTCCCCCCAAAAGTGCACACTCAAGAAGTGATATCTCCAGGTATACGTCGGTGACGAGCGACAGTAGCACTCTTTTCCGATATCACGCCTACCACGGATGAATGATCGTGTTATGGCTAATAGTGTCTTGTGTGGGCTACACATCTGTCCGTATCATGTTGAGGAAAGTCCTTAGATGTACTCAAATAGAGATCTTGTTATAAACCCGAAGTCTTCGCACAGTCTTAGTCCTTCTCCGACGCTACGGGTTAAAGAATTATGCACGCCTTAACTTTGTGCTAACCGCCATAATGATCCGTTACATATCTCTACTACACCACATACCGACCACCATGTTTGTAGGAAAAGGGGAGCTGACGTCGACGTGCTCTTGTTTCTGGGGCATCTCAAAGAGACTGAACGTCAGAAACTGGAGCAGGACGAAATGTATAGGCTGTCCATTTATTTCTTAGACTTTGTCTACATCATCGCGAGATCAGGTGTCACATCATACGCGCCTCATCCTCAACGGAACCTTTGCGCCCTCTTCGCCAATGACTTTCGGTCGAGGTAAGACACTCCCGCCGGTATACTTCCCGATAGCAGTATCACCTCCGCCGAAGCTATACTGTCCATTTAATACAATTTATCCCAGTAACTACTGGGGAAGGTGAAATATAAAATAGCCAGTAACTACTGAAGCTGTCAAGAAGCTGTCAGAATACATGCATTATAGAGATTCAAATATATATTAATATTTGACACGTTTCCAATAATTGTATTCTTCCGGCTGTCACATGACCCTCGTATACCGCTCCTGCCCCCGCCTGTTGGCCGACCGATGCGCCTTGGATTTCCCTTTCCGTTGTATCCTATATTTGTCACCGATCCAGCATTGTTCCTTCCCTTGATGGGATCTCTGCCCGTCTCCTCTCACTCCTCCACATCTGATCTTGTACCTTTGACCTTGTAGATCCAACCCTTCCCAGCTTCTCGGCTTTGTCATCGATGCATGTGGGGCGGTACTGGAGCGGTATGCCATTTCCTTCCCACCATTCTCATCAGTTTTCCCTATCCCTCCATGCACAACTTTAACGGCCATGCCTCAAGTTACTATCCTATAGCGAGAATTCCCCAGATGTTGCTTGCGTCATGAGCATCGGGATAATCATGGTCTGCTCCAGTAATCCCATTATCCATTTCTCTGCTGCGCTCTTACTGCTCTCCACTCTCTCGCTTGCTCAGGTACCTTGATGCTCTCTGGAAGACCGTATGGCATCCCAGCCTCCACGTCAACTGCATCAAGCTTTGTACCATTCCGCAGGTTTTCTACAGGCAGGATCTCGGCATTCCATCACAGGTGCTAGTATTTCCCTATTATTCTAATGGGATACTAACATCTTGTAGTGTACATCAGACACCATTCTTTGTACTCCCTTCATCAGCCGTAACCCTCCTACATCCCATCCCAGACTCACTTCTCCACACGAAGGAGTGCCCTAGCTTTGTGCTACAGATACCTTCACCGTTAGTCGTTGGTAGAAATAATGTCAGCACGGATGGTATGTGCAAACATCCATATTATGGATCGCTCTGTTGACTGTACTATATAGATGTCAATGTAAAATCAATGAACCTATTCAAAGCTATCTAAATCGGACAAATGAAATGCTGAACAGAAGCGCTATGGTGAGTTTACAATAAATTTATATTTGATGGAAATTGTACTTCATTGAAACCTAGGCGTTCATACGTGACCATAAATTTATATTTGATCGAAATTGTACTTCATTGGAGCATACGTCCGTTACTATAAATTTATATTTGATCGAAATTGTATTTTATGGAAACATATGTCCGTTACTGTAAATATATATTTCTGACATCCCTTCTTGGATAGCTAGGTCTTATAAAAGAGAATGCATGCGCAACTCTTCGGCAGTTATGTCTCGCCCAGCCCCCCATGAGAATCCGTCTACTGGCGTTCCACCCGACAAGCCAGACCCCTTTGGTTTTGATCAGATCTTTGACTTACTTCTTTTTGGATGAGGACTCCGACAGTGATTTCGAGATCAGCATCGAGAGTTCTGTACCAACCATCAGTGGGGATCTCCATGGGTGCCATCCTTACCTGGATGTTGGCAGCATTGAAGAGTAGGTCCTTTTCGCTTAATCTTCAATCTGATACTCACATATTCCTGCGGCAGCTTGATCATTGGTGTGCTGCCCATTCCGGGTCTTTATCACTATGCCGTTCGCTTGGACTATTCTGGTGAACAGCTTCTATGGCTGGCGGATCAGGGACCTCTTTTCGAGAGCGCTGTACTTGCCGATTGCACGTTGACATTTTTTAAATGTCTGTACTTGCTGTGGTTTCATAAGTGGCCCACCGTTGACGAAGCTGAACGAGAGCAACGAAAAATAGTACGTCTTTACAATGTCTAGGCCCATCAATACAACATTAATACATATAATCAGGAGATCTTCACCCTTTACATCATGGGACTCAAATACAGATGGATTGATCATGGGCTGAAACCCCGGCAGTGGACTATCGAGCAGGTCTTCGAAAAGTTGGATCGTTTGGAAGAGATCATCACTGCTGAGTATGATAAAATCAGTCATGTATTTAAGAAGCATTAGTAAACACTAATAACATTGCGACCAAAGTCCATAACACGCTAAATCAATACACTAGGAGGACGATGCCGAGATACATCCAGGGGAATCAAGGTCCAACGTTGGGTCAGGCATTTCATGGGATACCGGAGGAAGGGAGGCCAGTGTGTCGCTCCATTGTTTGCTGGCATTCTCACCAAGTTCTTGCCAGAGAGCAGCCTGCTTCAACGCATATGCTCTCGCACCAGGTAAGCTTACCTTCCTTGCCCTATCATTCCATACATTATTGTAGAACTGGAACGTCACCTTGATGCAACGGATCTCCTCTGTCAAAAGTTCACACTCTTCCTGCCAATGCTGCGCTTGAGCACGAGACTTGCACCACTCGATACGTAAGGCTGTGGAATGCATGTTAGTCATGGCACGAGGATTTGAGAAGAATCTGACCTTCTTGGAGCCCTTCCTCTCTGCTTTGCAAGTTTGTCTTCCAGATCCATGACAGTGAACGATGACCCTCTGATGTCATATCGTCATAAGAATCCAGACCACGAATATCCTCATCTCTTAAGGGAAATAGACCCGACTTCCATTCGTGTCGACCCAGATGAGTTGATACCGCATCTAGTGCGGCGTACACTCTTCAATATCGGGCTGCATCTGCTGAAACTTTCATTTCCACCCTACGCATAAGATTGTTGGCTCTCGTTCCATATCGTTGACCTCGTGAGAACCGCTCATGCCATATCATGAGATAAGACTTGAGGAGTAAATGATCACGTAAAATGGCTAACGTGTCATGCACTTGTGCTAGCCACAAGCGACACTCGTCGTTGAGAACAGTATTGGTTGGACTGGGATCAACTGCACCGAGTCGCAAGGCTGCCAAAGGCAGATACAATGGAATCTTGGTAGGATGGATTTCAACACCAGGAGTGCACCAATCATCATCCCGGGTGCAGAGTAGACTTGTCTTTGGCATGTACACCTTTTGAATCTCGATCCAGGCTTCGATTTTGCGGGAGATGCGGTTGGTTTGCTGTTGGATCCTGGTTCATTGCAAGTCAGTTGAATGGGTCCCGAGTTCCTTGATGTCATCAATTAAGCATGCCCTGCAAGCGTATTCGGTTCAGTGTAATATTCAGGTGAGCTTTCAATGAATAGACATACTGTGCTTCCTCCAATTGTAAACCTTGAGCAATGAATTCACTAGGACTCACATCATGGTGAATCTCAATGCTTTTTTTGGCTTTTTCTTCTCGAGCCAATTCTAATCGTACAGCATTTTCGGTTACCGCTGAAAAACCGTCAGCATGTGTACTGACTTCAGATCATGGACAGACTCATGACGTAATGTAGGAGAGAATGGATTTGGTTTTGTGCGATCACTTTCCCATGCAAGGACCATCATTCTCCATTGATGAAGAGCGGTCGAATGGTCAGCCCACAAAGCATCTTTGTAACTGATAAACTCGGTAACATGTTGAGCTCTGGCAGTAACAGCATCCTTATATTTCTTGCAGATAGTCGACGCTAGGTATTGTGGTATCAGTTGGCATGCACTTCCTGTGTTTATGCATACTCACCTATGATGATGATTTTTCGCCAATTATAATCGCCAAAGTGATCATCTAACGTGTCCCGATGAGACTCTGGACCCATTTCTTTCGTACTATTAGCCAAGGCATTCGTCGTAGCCCAGCCCCGCTCAGGTGCCTCCCCGTCCATCCATCCAACCTTAGCCGAGAAATTGAAGGAAAAGTCGTTGCGGCAGCTCAAGATATGCGCTGGGAGATGGAACTTCGGGACAAGATACAAGATATTATGTTCACTTTGATGCAGTCTCAAAGAAGCCGGATATTTCTCCATGCGAGCGAAAAACTTCTTGTGCCATTGGCACACTATATCGTAGGAGATGACCAGGTCAGGGGGCATGTCATATGAGAGCGTCGATAGAATGAAGTAATCCATGTTGATATATCTATGGGATTGACAGTCAGTGACATGAATGCTTGACACAAGACCTGATATACCTCTCGCCCTTTTGCAGATCTCCAACAGACAGAGGGCGTTTCATGTCATGGCGTCCACATACAATGGCACCGACACCTGTTGCCACAGCACCCTTCCCTCCGTGACTATTTGCAAGTTTCACTGTGTCGTGATTGTTGCACGTACTCTTCTCCTCCTCGGGAATGACACCACTATATTTCTCCAGGTGAGCTTTGAAACTTTCCTCCTCCACAAAATAGGCATATCCCTGGTTCAAGCTCGGATCATTGATTTCATCTGATACATTGAGACGACGTAGATGGAAGTTCGCATCGACCATGATGAATAAGCGGTACAACCATCACTTCTGCCTGAACCATTATTCTTTAGTTTGATTACACATAAAGCGGATATTATTCCCTTACAAATTGTGTGACCACCCATCCGGCAAGTTAACGTGCGGGTGTGGACATGCCAGACAATGAAGCGCCAGTTCGCCTGGCTGAGTCTCTTCAATACCTCCTTGCTCGTGTCCTCAGGCCAAAGCATTTCAGTGCGCGGAAGTGACACCATTCATGCATGATTTGAAGAAATGAATCATAGCGATCCTAGAATACGTTTAGGACTGTTATCTGTCATCTTGATAAATAACACTCATACCGGTGGTGGATGGAGTCCTGTGTTATCCGATAAGCGAGCTAGAGTATGGTAGAACTCATAAGCAGAAATCTTCGACATAAATGATAGAACTTGAAACAGATTAAGAACTCGAAAGGTTGCCGCCGTTTGAGGATAGACAGTCGTGGCAGGCCAGAGATGGCTTCAAAGAAGCTGTCGATAGCGGTCCAAGTCAACGTTTCGCGTGCATTCACAAAAACCCATTTGAAGCATGTGGATCCCATCAACGTCGATCACGACAAAAGAATGAACAACCGCAGGAATCAGGCATGTCTGCCCTAGTTTGTGTCCTAGCTGGACAACGAGACCAAGGTCACCCAACGAAATCTTCTTGAAATAGGACCCATTCCAGACCTGAAAAACTTCATGAGAAAAGCGAACAAAAGAGGTGTAAGGGCCTACCTCCACTCTATGAAAGGGCATACCCCAATGACGCTCAATGATACATGCACGACACAGCATCTGACCATCGAAACAAGATAGACAGCGATGTTTACCCTGCTCTAACCCACACATATCGCAGTCAGTACAGTTTGTATGTTCCGGCGACTCTGATTGCAAAACCTCCTCGAGAAATTCCTTGCGCTGGGATTTCCAGACCAACAATGGGTGGTCCTATGAGATAAGTTGCACTATAAGAAGCAGGTCAGCAACAAGAATTTACTCATGCCCATTGGTCTGGGAAGACGTGCCCCCTCGCTGTCATTTGATGCCAATGCGAACTCAGTAGGAACTTCGTGGTCTGGATCAAGGAACGATAATGCGGACATGCCCACCGCAAGCGAGCCATCCCATGCAGAAGAAGCCAAACTTTCTTGGGAAGTGGGAACAATATTGTCAGAGGCCAATTCTAAAGGAAGATGGGTCGTTGTAACGCGAGCGCTTCTGCCGGTATGTCGCTTTGTGGCGGATGACGCAGATAGTGAGTGGTCAGTATGCCAGTGATATTCTTGTGTCAGTGGGAGATCAATGTTTATCTGCACCGTATTGTCATCGTCTGCGGTATCGAGGATATCCATTTGAGCCCGTCGACCCTTTTTGCGAGGATTGTAATTCATATTGGTAGATTTGGTAGATGAAAGGAAAGGGTTGGTAGGTTCTGAGAAAGATGGGAGAAGTAACTCGTGATTTTATTGAAAGAACGTATCTCTCTTATACAAGAGTAGGAAACTACTGACATCCTGTAACCCAATGGTAAGAATCCGAATCCGAGAGACAAACAGAACTTCGGGCATCTGCCATCTTACCACCAACACATGGTCATCTGAAATCAATCTTCCTAGTCCATGTGTCGTACCTTCAAGTCACGCAGATGCATTGAGAGTATGTGAGGCAGCAACACAGTAGAGAGCAGTAAGAGGGCAAGTCCGAATAAGCATGATTACACGTGTTGGTATCATGATGTTACTATATAGAGATAAAGATAGGGGCCTATGCGAGTTCTGATTCGACTGTTATCAACGAGCTTCCATGGTTTGGGCATCCTCTCACTCCTTTGAACACCCGATACCCCTTCTTCCTGCCCATTGCTACGCGTCTGTGCTGCAGCCTTTGCAGCCTTTGCGACCTTCACTCTGATCTTTACTCTTTGGGCCATCTCCCGTTTACGACCTGTGGCATAGAAGGGTTCCCACATTTCGAGGGTACGAATGATTGCAGCAAGATCCTGTGAAGGGAGTGAATGACTTCAGTGGCACTCAAACACAACCAGCTCGTGGGCTTACCTTCTGGCGGCAGGCGTACCAGTGTTTACAGGCATCCTTATCGGTAGGGTCGGGCGGTTGCAGCTGGGCACGGAAACGATCCTTCCAGAGTAGCCAGAGCTGGGATTGAAAGACAGAGTATGGTTTTGGATGTTTGCGGGCATCTGCTTTCAGGCGGTGATAGTAGGCGATATACGGCTCCAAGAATTCCCGCTGTTCTTTGGTGGTGCCGACCCACGAAGATCTAGACCTGGTCGACATGTCAACAGCCTCTGCAGAGCGAAAACCAGGAGGAGTACGTACATTTTGCTTGCCGCTTCAAAAGTGGATAGTCTGATCTAATTTTTGCTGGTTGTCCCCTTTTAAAAGCCTGAACCACCGGGGATCAGGCACAAGTAAGATTTAAATTTGCTCCAGTAGAGATGTATCCTTGACATTACAGTAAATATATATTTTTGACGTTACAGTAAATTCAATTTTCAGCAGATTCAATTTCTGACATTTCCAGTGGATTCAATTTTTGACGTTTCCAGCAGTCAATTTTTGACGTTTCCAGTGGATTCAACTTCGTTATTCGGTTGGGGGACACCAGCCACTTTTGGTCTCGACTAGGTTCTCTTTCACCGTTTCAGATGGTCGCAGTGGATTATACGGAGGAGCGCTGAGCAGCAGCACAATGCTAGTAGTCATTCGCAGCTACTGCCAAGTACGCCTACTCTTTCTATTTATTGGGTTGCTGACCTCTTTTGCAGGCACCGTAACTTGATCAATGAGAAACGACGGGACAACTATCGAAAGAAGAAAAACCAAAGACACAGGTGCAGGTGCATGAATTCCCTCCATGGAGGCAGTCGTTTCTTACCAAATTAACAGGCTTGAGCCGCTGGTTCGACAGGCGGCACGCCTTGTCGAAATCGAAGTGAACAGTGGTCATTCACATGCTGAGTGCATGTTTCTTCCTCAGCAGTTATCATATAGTCATTCTGAGCTTCACAGGCATTGTTCATCACTAGCTGAAACGATGGATCAGATTGAACGCCTCTATGCTAGGTTTAGAATGCTTACACAGGACTCGCTGAAAGGTTTCGCCAACTCCATGTATCGGCAATACCAGTGAACTGTTACCGTCGATTGCCCTAAAGGCTACCGCAGTCTCCTCGACAATGCCGTTTTGGAGATATCCGCCATCGAGCGGTCAATGTTGCAGCACAAATACATTATTCTAAATACGATGGGTGTCGGGAAGGAGATGAGACGGCTTCGCATGGTACTAGATCCGGTTCACACATTGGTGGGCTGGTTGGAGGAGATGCTCTTGGAGGCGATGATCAGTCCTGCTGGTTTAAAGGAGAAATATAAGAACAGGGGAGCTCGCATTTCTGATAGATTAAGAATTCAACATGTATTCACTACACAGCTATATACATCTTCGCCTCTCTTTGCCACACTAGCCTGTAGTTGTTGTATGTGACATGTAAATTATAAGGACCATCGATTGCAACGCGCCATATGTCCTCCAACCACGAAATAAGCTGTCCAATCTTCTCTCCTGCAGATTCCAATTTTTTTTGGTGCTCACTGGGGCTGTCCGTTTGTAGTGCCTTCGCCAAAATAGACTCATATGCCTTCTGCATCTCATAAAGGTCATCCAAAGGCTCCACAAAGAGGCCTATCTCGCCTTGCCGCCGAGAGTTGTCCTTGAAATAGCGACAGAGGAGAGACTTGACGTAGTCGGAAGGTGCCTTGCCTACAAGGAAATCTTCAAACTCCTGTAGGACCGTCAAGGCTTCTGCATTGAATTTTGGGAAGGGGTCTGGGGGAGGGGCAGGCGTAGGTATGGTGACAGGACTAGAAATAATGAGTTCAGATTAAAGTAATCAGAAAGAAATGAGTGTCTTACATTGGTGTAACCTCGTATTGGCTGATATTCCGTATTTTCTTCAGTCGAGTTGTGAATTTACTTGTCGAAGATGGGACTGGTTGGTGGGCGGCTGACCGGTTTGTGTTTCGAATTTGAGAGAGTGATGTAGTTTGTGGGGCAGTCCGAAAAGCTTCCTGCTTATCCCTAGTGTATTCCATATCAGAACGTCAAAGTAGGATTAAGAGTGTACCTATCGCAGCGACTGGATTGGGGTTGATAGCTAAGTTTTCGCCAAGCAGATATCTCCTGTCTATGACTAGCAAAAATAAGCACTACTTTTGAATACTACATACATAGAGAATTACACTTACTTTGCATAATAACATTGAGTTTTATCTTGAATAGCGCGTAGCTTTTCTTCTGTAGTGTGATATTTTTTGGGACGGCCCATGCGAGAAGAAGTTATGGAAGAAGAATTGAAGCGGGACTATTAACTCTCTTTCATCCATTTTGGGTTTTTCATCTGATTGTCTCACCGAAACTCTTCATGCCATCTTTCTACTGCCTTTGGTGACAGTTAAACTTATTTTGAGTTAAATTATACATCTCTAATGCATTAATACTTGCAAGGGCTCGGTATGTCCCTCATTTAACCCAGTCCGATAGATTAATTGCATAGGAAAGGCTGTCTCAGCTTTTCTCTGTCGGGACTACTTGGCGAAGTTTCGGTGCACAGTGGTGAATATAGTTGCATGAAGACTCAGATTTAAAGGTGTTTCTCTTCAGTTGGAAGCTAATGCAAGTGTCGGTGTATCAACACTATTCAAGTTCTTTGAGTGGCTAGTACTATTAAAGGTCCTATTCCTTGCGATCTACAGAGGATTTCAAGCTCGGTTTTCTTATTGATATTTACCTGGAAATCGGGACATCTCATCACGGTAGCATGGACGCCTATTTTTACACGTGAACATATCATTCACTGGCAAAGAACTTGAAGGAAATGGCTCGCTTGTTGACATGGCGGTCATAGCTGGACTCATCGGAGCAGGAGATTAATTGGGTGAGTTGGCAGTAGTGGTCTCAGTCTGAGATGCATCGTCGTTGATTATGATTACCAACTTATTTGCTGCATACAGTGAGTTTCTCACTTTCTCGAAGGAATCCTCATGGTGCCATTTCACGTGATCCTGTATAGGTTCAACTTCGCCACGTCTCCCTGTATATGCTGTCTCTCACTCACGCGTCGAAGCGACTGTTCTGAGCATGGAATCTGTGAGTCTTTTCTCACCTTACTTTACTAATGCTGAGCACGCGCATTCCGGCAGAAATGTTCTCTCACCAGGCAACGACATGGGCTTCTGCTTGATACAAGAGTACGAGAAACAATTACTGGTGGGTCCTCTTCTGAATCCAATCTCGTAGTGCACTGCTGATGGTTGAATTCAGGCTGCTCTTCAACTCAAATATGACCAGCGCGCCTTCCAGGATAACATAAATGACTACGCTCACACTGTCTCTGATGGCCATGGAAGGGCGTGGCAGAGCCTCTTTTTGTCACGGTTTATTGCACTTTACCCAGACACTGTCCAGTCGCTGCAAGTGGTTAGTATCTTCTAGCTTCTTTGATACTCCTCTGCTGACACAACTGCCAGCACTTAGAGGAGGAGATGGATTATGAAAGGAGTGGCCTGGCCAAAGATGGGCATGCCCTCGAGCAACATATGCTTCTCCCAAGCACCCAACAAGCATCGGAAGGCCTTCAAGATGAGCAGAGCGTGGACGCTGAGAGAGTGACTGTGGAAGGTTCTGTCTCTGATGAGTCCGATGGAACGGTTGATAGTGGTACGACCGCATGGATTAGGAGTTGGAGGGTGTCGGCATATGAGACTACAGATAGTGTGGTGGATAAGGACTTTGAGAGCCGACTCTCTCTCGTGGTAGAACTCAAGGAGCAACGAGATGAAGCTCGTCGTGCTGCTATTGCCCTCTGGGTGGCTACTGTTTTTGAAGCAGAGAACTGTTCTGTTTGATATGTCTATGTCTACATGTATCTCTGAATAAGAATGATCCCTGTGTTCTAACGATAGCTTGCTGTATGTTCCAGGAGCAACGACGACCAATAAACTTTCTTTCTTCCTAATGAGAGACTCTTACTTTAGATGCACAAAGTAACTACGTATACTCGAATCAGGCGTGTCTGGGCTCGTGTTGGTGTCTCGATGAACTTCTTATTTCTCAATGGGGTACATATTTTCTCAATAAAGATATATAACAAGTTGACAATGCGCCGCGTGCATATACTCTTGACGGGTTACACGTTTCCTAACAAATAGATGGTTCTTGGCAATGCGTTGCACTGCATACACACTCTCTGAGTACATATTTTTACAGCCTGTCAGCAAAAAGATATGTCTTAACTATGCGCTGTGCCACTTGCATACTTTCTCGCTGGGGCCTATATTTTCCCAACAGATAGATACTTCTTGACAGCACGTTGCACCGCATATACTCTCTCCATGAAGTAAAATAAATAAATCTTGGAGCTTTTTACCTAAGGAGACTGAAGGCTTCAGAACGCTATTGCTCTAGATCATGTTCGAGAGTCATCCAGTATCTGTCAGGAGATGTCAGGCGATCAGCACAAGGCAAAGAATCCCTTATACAAAGCGGAACCCGATACCGGTGCTTCGAAGAACCCGAGACGCAATGAAAACAGATGAAACAGACAAAGGTTGCATCATTGGTGCGCATTGTCCCCTCCTTCGGGTTTCCATTCGAGTAGGCTATTCCGACATCTGAAAAGAGGGAGTAAAGCCAAGAGAACGTGGCAGACACTTGCGAGAACAGCGGCATATGGCAAACCCGACCTAGGGATGACATCGGAAAGAAGAGGTATAGCAGACAAGAGGATAACATTTGATCGGCGGTAGGTATGGAAGGACAAACTGGGGAGGTACGTAACACTAGGTCCAAGAAGCGTAGATACTGAACATTATATACCAAAAATCAAGTAAAGACTGTCTTGAAAAGGAGTGTGAAATATGAAGGATATCTGTGCTAGGAGGCAGAGGGAAACAAGAAATACCACACCTTACAGGATTTCCACAACTCCAGTGCAGACTGCTTCATCGAATGCGGCCTGAGCAGCTGCCTGAGTAGGGTAACGAAAGAAACAAGCCCTCCCCATGCCAGTCACCAGGGGGGTTACATTTTGCCTAGCATATTTGTGAGAATGCAGCTGAATAGGATAGGCGAGAGGCCAAACATACCAGCCACTGTAGACTCCAATGGCACAGCCTTTAGTGATGGTATACCAAGGACCATCCGGTCCGATGTTTGCCTGAACAGAAGGGCTAGTAATGGAAGGAGGTGCTGAACCCTGATGAACCGCATGGGTACTGGGTGGCGCATTGGCGGCGACCTGGGAAGCACTGGCACTGGTGGCAGGGGTTCCAGCGGAAGCGGGAGCTACACCCGCGGATGGGGCTGAAGGTTGAACACTGCTTCGCGGTGCAGGAGACGCTGAGGGCGGGGCCTTGTGATGGTTGGCGATGGCGATAAGTGTTGGAATAGCGTTTAGAGAGATGACATTCGGATAAGCACAATTAAGACAATAGAAACTGTGTAGTGGGCCTTCAACAACTTCAGACGAGTTGTTGTTGTGAGCGTCGTGGATGGCAGGACCCGAAGCTGGTGAAGACGGATCAGCACAAAATGACTAGAATAACAACAAACATGCACCGCTTGGGCGGATTCCCAAAGTAGCGAGAGCTGCCACAAGTTGTTCAGTGGTGATCGGTGTCATGATTGAAGCTTGAAGGCTGATTTGCAGTAGACAGGAAAGTTTGGTGATGGGCACCAGTCGTATTTTTACGAGATTATATACAGTTTCGGGGTACAATTGAATTGAATTTAATTGCACTTCGCTGTGTACAATTGAATTCAATTCAAAGCGAAGTACCATTGAATTTAATTCAATTGTACACAGTGAAGTACAATTTGAAAACCCACTTTATCTGTGATGGACTCGCATGCTTCGGTCTGACAGAGCAAAGCACGTCTTCCAAAAATCCTGTGAATATAAAATGGCAAGCGTCCGAGTCGATTCCCCGTTCTTGCTTTCAGACATTCCTCGCGGTTCGTCCCCTTCTCGCTAGTCGCAGATTTTATTTTGATCACGTATTCACAGGGCGACAGTCAGACAAATATTAGACAAAAACCAAGAACAGAATATACCACGCGCAAGTAAGTAGAGTCTTTCATCATAATTCTTGAGGCTTTAGCTCAATTGATTCTGTACAGCCATGGGACGAGTTCAGGCTATTCCTACTACCCGTGTCCCTCGGAAGCAGCTGAAGAGTAATTTGGATCGGAGCATATCGCATGAAAATTCCCGGCGCTCACTTGTAAAATGCCTACAGCAGCAGCAGACTGCTGAAGTCTACAATCCTTCCGACCCTCTGTTAACAGATTCGGCAACCTCGACGGACGTCAACGCTTCCATCCAATTTCACAAGAACAGGAAGACGAGCCATATGCAGACCGGGCTTCTGAAAGAACTCTTGCCTGAATACCACTATCACTCTGCTAATGGCCTCTTGCGCGTTTTTAGGGCCCGCACCAATGGAAGATGGCACAGGTGGTTTCCAGAGAGTTTCGGGTCATACCTCCTGGATTGTGACGACAAAATTCGCCTTATTCCATCTTACCTCATAGGTGTGCATGACTCTCCTCCTGGTGCGAGCTACCCAAGGATGTCGGAAGGGTGTCTGGACTTTGGTCCCGCCATGAAGCTGTGTTATGACAACTGTCCGCTAGTCAACAAGACCCAATTACCCGACTACGACAGAGTCCTTGCTGTCCTGCTCCGTTTCGTTGTGATGCGCTGCAATGTGAGCTCAGTCATCCTCTTGTTTGTCTCCATACTCATAATATTTTGCTAGCAACTGAAGAATTGGTTTAATAACAATCGCATCACTCGTGCTATCCCCAAGGTAGGAAAAATCGGATGACTACAAGTTAACGTCGTCCCGCCATGCATCCCGCGAGCCGTTCACTTGTATTCGGGCAAATATTACCTGACTAGAGTCTATCCACACGTTGCCGTGGAGGCAGCTCGATGCGGTATCCCTACCAACAATATTTTGCTCGTTCAAGACATGACCAAGTATATCTGGGACAATGAGACACCAGAGATCAAGAAAGATATTAACGATTGCGTCGAGAAGGAAAGAGAGCTTATCACAGCATTCAGGGAAGGCAAGCTGGGGGCTTCAGATCTCAGCAGCGACAAAAAGGCATCGTACATGTCTCATATGCTAATTCTGCCGCTATTTTAACCCTCATTTTCACAGTGTCATCGATTCTCTTGATCACGAATTTGAAGGCATGACCAAAAATTTAGTCAATTACCTCCAGTGGGGCGTCATAGTTATTGCTGGCGGCGTTGATCCTCGCACAGGAAGAATCAGAACAATGGCATAGGTGGAGTCATTTCTTTCTTGGTGTTATCAAACTGACTATCTTAAAGATTCAACTATGGCTGTACCACAAGTGATGGCAAGGACTTCATCAATTTGTTCAATGACGCTGCAGAGACTGGGCACATCCCTGGTACCCCCGAGGGAGAGAGCAGGGCTTTCAGTCAGTACTATGGTCTCCCCTTCATGTATCACATGAAAAAAGTCCAGGGTATGTGTTCTGCTATCGTCTTTACCTACTAGCCTTCTAACCAAGGGATACAGTAGGTCGCAATGGACCTGCACCTGCCGTTATACCAGAGGCACACATCGAGAGTCTTGCGGATGTTGATCCGGCAACATTGGTACATGACGATGCTGCTGGAAATGGTGTTGCAGTCTCAAGAGCTTCCAAAGAACAGGATTCATTCCAGCTTCCTGAAGAAGCAACCGCTCCTGTTGCCCAGTCACAAACGGCACCACCAGCTCAAATGTCATCAGAACCCCTGCCCTGGTCCTGCATCCCATCACCAGTAGTTCATTCTTCGCCAGTCACAACATCTTCAGCATCTATTTCTTCGTCACTGATCACTACTGAAGCAGCTCCCCCCCGAGAGACAGCGCTCATCTCTCCCCAATCCGGAGGTCAGGGCGTCGAGATGGATACCAACCCTGATTTGCACAATGTCTTGTGGGGATATTCTCATTCTGACGATTCAATGAAACCCTTGGATTTGATTATGTCATCTTCACCGGCTTTATCAGGCATCAACAACGATCATTTCGGTGCCAATGTAGCCAACTCTTCTTTTGACATGGATGTGGACTTGCTCCAGTCGCAATGGCCTGACTTTTTGGGTACTGTCGAATCCAATTCATCTTGGAATGCTGAAGTATCTGGTTCCGATGGTGACTTGTCTCAATTCATGGAGTCCTTAGGATTGTCTGACATATTTGCCTCTCCTGATCGATCTGCACAAACTGTTACCGAATCTCATTATGCTGCCACCGTGTTGTCTGCTACCTTGTCTGACTCACAGGCCCTGTCGGACCAACTTGCTGCTGATGTAATTATGCATGAGAGCGAGCCGGCCGCCAACTACCACATGACAGCGACACCAACGTCAGACCTTCGCTCGACCCTTTCCGCTCCTTCAGTGCTTCCCGACATCGCGAACTTGCCCAGGCAAGTGAGGCAGCGTAAAGCGCCCCCTCCCAGGGAAGTGATCACCCTTTGTGGTGCCGAGAAGGATTTGGGTCCACCACAGTGGCATCAAGAGAGCTTGATGGCTATGCAAGATCAATCTTTGGGCCCCATGTGGCTTAGTCTTGTCGAAAAGTGGTATAAACTGGAATCTGACATGTGGAAAGTCAAGGCAAAAACAGAGGTATATATTCCACACTCGACATGTATGATCTTAACTGATTGTCTTGTAGGGTAAGTACTCCCTTGGGAAGCGACGACCTCAAGAACTCACCCAGTGGCTCGATGGGACCCGTTACTTCAATGTTGAACTCTTCATCGTGGATGCATCTTGTTATGGTAGACAGCTGGTTGACTGGTGGAACCACCTCAACCCTGCCTGGAGACGTTCGAACGACAATTCCGGGCTTCCAAAGCCGGATTACTCGAAGCCTTTGAAGTGTCTTCGGAAAGGAGGGCGTCAAGGCATTGTTACTGTCATTTTTGGTTTATTTTGGTGGGGTCACGCATGTAGAGGAATGGAGCAGCTGTGGTTTCGAATGGTTTCGGATGTATCGAAGACGATCGACGTTCTCATGTAACAGCTCAGAGAAGACCGAGGCAGTGCATCTTCCAGTGCGGGACAGGAGATGGCGTATATGTAAGTTATTGCTTTTGTCTATATCTTCTTGGTTGTTTTCGACATTCGACGTCTTGCACAGTACGTGATTACTGTCCATTCCCCCCTGTTGTCTTGCTTACCATACTGGAACTCATAATGTACAACACAAATTTCACTTCTTGGCTTCTAACATTTCTTATACTTGCTGTAGATATTCTCATCATAGCTTTTAGGGTTGATAATCTCTTTATTTTGGACAAATAAATATACTTGTGCTGTTGTAAAAAAGAGTCCCTTAGGCAGGAAATGGGCTTTCCAAAAATGTATAAACAGTATACTTGTCCTGCCCTCTCCACTTTCTACGACTGTTCTCGCAGCCTTGGTGGCAAGCCAAAGATGACTATGCAGAAAGCAGAACGCAAGAACCATGCTTTAGTGTGCGAGCCGAGTCCGCTATCATTAGCGGTGCTTTCTCTGTTGCAAGGCTTTGAACCATGATGATAGTACATGTGCGTTTTCTCTTCACCCTACCTTCTCATTGATGTAAAGTTTCCATTTCAGTTTTCAGGTTCTCGAAAGGATAGGATTAGTTTACTTCACCTTCTCAGGTGCAATCTTTCTCGTCGCCAGCTTAAACTTTGTCATCCCTATATTTCTGTGCTTTCTTGTTCACTGCTGCAGTGGGGTTTTCAATCATGATTCTGGATGTTTGGTGTCCCAGAACTACTGGATCTTGTGTAAGAAGACTCTGCTTGTGCTGTTTACCATATAGTCTAATGCTGCAAAATTTAGGAAGCATTTCTTTGGGGTCCGTGCTGAAAGGTACTGGGAGCTTTAATAAAGACTACGTTTATTCTGCGGGATCTACTGTCATCCAGCGCAAAGGTATGTTTTCAGTATCATTTTCTCTGGCTTGGTGTCTGATATTCAGTCTGTTAAAGCCTGCAACACGGTCCCCTAGCGTTGTCGTTCTGTCGGGACGACATACCTTAATTTGGCATATGCGTGCCACTTGCCGGTATTGACAGCAGCATCGACAGCTACCACCAAAATGAGAATTGCTGCCTCATTTTTTTGCAGGGCCGACTTGCCAAGAAAGAAACTGTCCTGGTTTCCGGTCCTCCTCCCTCTCTGGGCATCGGCTAGTCCTCAAATAATCTACAGGAATGGGATAGAGCAGGGCGACCCGAAATCAAAGGTATATTTTTTGTTCTTTTTTAACAGAACACATCTGAAACAGTAAATCAACAGTAAATCAACGGTATATTTCCTTCAACGCTTTTCAAAATTGTGGTCCTCTGCTTTGATTCATCAAAATTGGGGCACCGAGCCGGGAGGGAAATATGTGCCACGGCGGCGGATGTTGATGGGAACATTAGTCGGAATGAATGACTGAGCCGTGATGCCCTGAGCAGCAGGATGCGTCGACGGTACAGAGTTGGTGGCTGTGAACACCGGTGCGGGATTCAGAATGAGTAACTGAGATGCGACATTTTGAGTGGCAGAATATGGGGGTGGCGCAGTGTCAGACTCATTGCTGGTGGACAGCTGCATGGGAATGGACGAATATGGGGGCAGCGCAGTATCGATCTCAATAGTGGTCAATGGCTGCATGGAACTTTGAACGGACGACAGTTCTGCAGCAGGATACGGGGATGCAGTGACAGTGTTAATGCTGGTGGATGACGGTATGAGACTTGGTAGGGACGCAACAACTTGGGTAGCGGGTGCAGGTAGTGTAGACGACGATGGTTCTGGATCGGTGGTGATGGGAGTAGCGGTGTGGGTGATCAGCGCGGCAGGAATATAGTTGCCTTTCCCCACAATAACTTCAGCTTTGCCGACACAAGAACAATGGAGGACTCACCTGAACCCGAACCTGGATGACGCACTACAGCCTTCAAGAAAACCTTCACATGCCTGCGCCAGTCAGTCTACCACCACGATGCGTACCACGGAAGTTCGCTTACTCTAATGCTGACTTGAACTTCGAGGACATTCTGAAAAAATGGTAAGTCCTGATGACATGTCAGATGAAAATGGTGAAACTCACCTTTTTTACAGACTCAGATAGGCCTGGTGACTGTGGAGGGGCTGGAGATGAGAGGCTAGGAGCCAACGACGAGTGAATATCAGAGTCGTTGGCGGTAGTGTCAAAAACAGCGCCGTCGAGAGCGAGAGTGACAGTAATGGCGATGGTCAAGAGCACGTGCTTAGATAATCACACAGTGACAGACTCACAATTTCTCTGTTACTCCCTGTACTACTAGTACTACTTTCAAGCTTTCGATGGACTCTTCACTCTCCCGAATTTTGAGAACGGACAACAAGGCTGGAAACCTCAAAGATCTAGGTGCAAAGCACGTGTCCGAACGTGTCAGTCACGTACCTGAGAGCGGCTTCCGTGAGCAAGATCTGACAGTGGTCATTCCTGCCTGCACAGATCGCCTAGATAGATCTTGAGGCAGCAGATCTCGATGGGATAGTAACATACTAGGCAAGTGTCGGGATAACACCATGGCATATGGTGGGTTTGGTTTGGAGCACGTGAAATTGCGAATCATTGGATAAAATTCAAATTTTTCAGATTTAATTTGGTATTTGACATGCTGTCAGCTCCCTATCGTTACTGGAGAAAATGTATTTTCGGTTCCACTATAACTACTGGAGAAAATACACTTTTCTGACAGGATAGGTTGGCCCGACTTTTGCACCACAATGCCATTTCGAATTCGGGCGAGCAAGGATGCAGCGTTGGTAGTTGCAAGACTCATTTTCAACACGAACGATACATCTCCCACCCAAGGTTCTCCCTGAACAATGGCTTTTGCGCCACCATGACGTGTCAACATCTGGCGAGCAAAGGCATGACGTTGTGAATGCTGTACTGTGTGTTTCTGAGGTGTGTGGAGTCTGGGGAGGATGTGCAGGAAGACGGTATGTACCTACCACTTCAGTAGCTGTTTTCGTTGTTAATCATTACAATCCAGGTTAACTCGTCACGTGTCAAGCTTCAAGGCTTGTGTTCAACAGGAACGACGCATTTACCATCCAACACTCTCTTTTAATGACGTCCTTTGCACTGCAACGATGTATCGACGTCCGGCAAATGCGGTATGGGCAAGTAGATGTTTCCGAAGAGTCGTACTTCTTTAAAGCTAATGATCTCCATCGATGGTACTTTTTCTTACTAATTGTATCCAGTGTCGGCGCCACCAGGAGGAAATCAGCATGGATCTTCGTCCCATCCTTTTCCTGCTGTTCAATGTTAACCCCCACTCTCTTCAGCTGTGTAGTCCCTGAACTAAATTAATATTCCTGATGACTGAGCTTTTCTGTACCCAAAATCCTGAATCTTAACTTACGCTACCTTTTCAGACTCTACTCGACTCTGTCGTAAGCTTGAAAGCAGGAGCTGCACCTTCGTTTGTCCCCATTTTGTGTGTCATGCCTAAGTAAGGAGGGGGTGTCCTCCCGTTTATGCTCCGGCCAAGCGTAGTCTCCACTTGAAACCATTCCAATGGGAAACTGAGGCTGGCTCACAGTTTGTGTGCCAGAAGGCAATAAAAAACAGGATGGGATCCCTGTTGCACAGAAACGCGATGAAACACCCTCCAGTCAGAGTCAAGTCAGAGCATGTAGGATCATAATCTCCCAACTGACACTCTTTTTTGGGGCATACAGTGGGATCTCATTCCTAACTTTTAACTATTCTTTGACATTTTCTCTTTACTTGTGTATGCGACTAGTATTAAGGACAACTCGCTGCTTTCCAATTCCTTATCACGCTCATCATTGTCAAGAAATCGGGCTTTTTGTGCTCGCGTTCGTTATCATTGATGGAATACACTGCCACTGAATGCCCTGACGAACGGCGAGCACAAAGACCAGCTTCGAGAAGATCTCCACATCTATAAAGAGGATGTATATTAGGGTGTGGCTCCGATAGCCTTCGACATCAATAACAGAGCTTTTTTGGGGGTCTTCCATTGGGTCTGAGTAAAGGAACATCATCCCTTCATGTCCATTCTACGTAAAAATCCCTATAACTATAGTGGAACCACTTTTGTAATAATCCCTATAACTATAGGCCTGTCAACTTCATGTATCCACTAGAAAGCGAAGTTATACGTAGCCATGAATTTTCACATGCAATCCATTTCTTGGTCTCTCCCCACCACGTGCCCAACCAATTCCCACCTCGGGTTTGCTGCTCTTGCACTCCCTATTTACGGGTATCAGTAATAAAATATTTAGTATTCATAATTAAAGCATTGTAAAACAAATAAATAAATATAAAATACTATATAATACAAAAATAAATTAACATATAGGCGGCATGGGCTAGGGAGCGATTTAGGGATCGATGGCACTAATGAACGTCATGGCAGGCTTGTGAGAGAAAATGGAGACCACCATCGAATCCCCCATGTCTTGGAGGACATTTGATGCCCAAACGGACGTCAGTGTCGCTGCTGTTGTTGGACGTTGGCGGCCCGGTCTCCATCCTGCCCTCCTGCCCTCCCCCTTCCTCCCCAGTATGCTGCCCAGTCTCCCTCTACATCCCTAGCCTAAGATCCACCCTAACCCTCATCGTGCTCGAAGTCTCCTGGCTTTTCCGTCGTCGTTGTCATTGTGGTTGTCACTGTTACAGGTGCCATCCCGCTGCATAATGAGGTCCAATATGGAAACCCTAGTGATATCCTGTGTCATCATCGTGCCGCGCTTGCATGTCCAATGACGATCGAGGTCGATGTGCATGTGGGGGGCATGGGATGGGTCACGGCAGAATATGAGTCGTATCGGGGCAATGGCAGGGGTGCATGGGTCATGTCGTCAACGTACAGTGTTGCAGTCATATCTGGCAGTGCTGCCTCGGGCAAGGGCTTACGTGTGGGGTGGGGATGAAATGGTCACTACCCGGGGATCTTGGGGCTGCCAGATATGCCAAAAAGACCTAAATTTGACATGTCAGTATAAAAAACAATTCAAACGTACCATATACCCATGACAATGGGCAAAACAGACGAGTGAGAGGGCAGGAAAGGAAGTGGACATGGTGGAGAGGAACAGAAAATGGTGCTGCACAGCCACTCAATCACAGTACGGTTGTGCAGTCCGGGGTGATCGACTGAGTGGAATCCATCATCGGGATGCTTCCACTGCTCGATGTACACTCTCCGATGCCACAAAGTGTATCGGAATCTTGTATTATAGGTATAAGGATTGTGTATATATAATTTTTAATGCAATAGAATACCCTCATCTCATGATAATCCTCAATTTACGTTGGTTGCCCCACATTTTAGGGCACTTGTAAGCAAATACCAGTTCTATATATCTGTGCACCATCTCAATAGGTATGTTTTTTGTTGAAAATGCAAGGTTATGTCTAGTATAAGTCAAAATAATGGTCCGATCCACCCCGATCTGCTTATAGTCTCACCATTATACCATTTCATGCATAAGAAGTGAAAACAGAATCAGACAAAAGTTCACAAGCTCGTTTTGCATATTACGAGTGTTCATAATATATTCACTTCAGGGCAGATCCATATATGCATTTGTATCATTGAAAATTCACATAAGAAGTCTTTTTCTCATTTGTTATATCATTATTTAGATGCACATTGTGCTGCATACTTTTGTAAAAGTTGAATTCAACAATTGTCTCACCATTATTCGCATTTATTGGTCGAATAAACATGAATTAAAGGCTAATTTATTGGCCTAAAATGTAAAATCATGAAATGTAGATATGACTATCATATTTTCGAGATACAGAAAGCCCTAGGAGTACGGGATTGCAAGGGTATTCTATTCTACGCCCCTAATTGGGGTACATCCGGCAAATTCCGACCATGGTGAGAGTGGCATTTTCCTGTTTGCATATCAGTTGAATGACAGTATTTGCACTCTATTAAGCATTTATATATCACATAAATGTATTCTAATTAAATCGAGCCTAAATAATCCATGTGCAATGCAGAATTTTACCCAGCTTTCAAAGCCGACAGAGCTGCTACCGCATTGAGAATGATATTTTCCCACAGTTTTATATGTCCAAGTATGCACAGGCGCATCCAGCCAAAATAGGGTCGGGAGGCAATAGTAAATCATTAAATATTATTTTTCTGGGCTGCGATTTTTTTTTCAGGCCCAAGCAACGAACGCTGATCCAGTGCCCGTGGACCCTAACTCGGCAGCCATACGGCAACAGTTTCTAGACCTAGCTAGGGCTGGCGAGACTGCTACACCTCATAAGGCCAGTTGTGTATACAATTTCCTGTAGGCTCAGGAATTAGATTGTATACAATTCTGTGAGGCCTGCAGGCATGATAAGTATACACATGTATGAAAGCCTGGATCCAATCAAAATCCACATTTTCTCAAATATTAGGCACATTTCCCATTGGGATGGGCTAGAATTTTCTGTGGGACCTTTCATAAAAATCTATAATTAGCCTGTGAAGTCAGCCCATCAATATCTGGCCGAAAACGGCTGGATGCGACCAAATGAAAATGGATGTAGTGGCAGTGCCGAATTTTTGATGGCATCATAGGGGCTATTTTCCGGTCAGAATAGGATTTAGGCTGGTTTCTGGGTGCTCGGTGGGTCAGGGAATGGTACTGGAATATTCATAAACCTGAATAACATAAGATCTGACCTACTGATGAGGTATGGGGGCTCTGGAGAGCATGTAATATAGGATTTTCGCAAAAATAGCTGCAATATTTGCTTTTTTGGGGGATTTTTAGGGTGATACATGCATTGGATCGACCGGGGGACTTCACCAATGAATTTCCTGACCTTTAAAACCCCCAAAAGATCCCTCTATAGCACTTGTGGCACATTTTATTACCAGGATTAGACGAGCATATTGGATTTTTAGGATGCAGCATGCTTTGGATTGCTTTGAAAACTATACCAGTCAATTTGTACACTATGAAAACCTTAGAATACATTGTCTTCTATAATATTTGACCTGTATAATACTGTAAAAAAGTGGGGATTGGGGTGCACATATGGTTTATTTTGTTTTCTGTGCTTCGGATGAGTCTGGGACTATCACCAATAGATTCCTTGACATTTAAACCCTAAAACGACTATAGGAACCTTTTATTGGGCTCCATAAACGATGGTAATAACAATATTACAGTTTAGGAGGAGCACATATGGAAAATCACTTTTCTGTACCTCGGAATACTTCGGAACTTCTACCAGTGTATTTCTTGACCTCGAAAACCCTCGGATAACACCAGGATTTAAAGAAAACCTACAAAAATACATGTTAAAAAAGAGTAATAGGGGATGGAGGAGATATACCTTGTATTACGCATTTCTAGTGGTTGGAGAAGGTATTCCTGTTATATGAAGAGACGATATGTATTGTATAATCATTTGTACAAATTCCCACATTCATCCGAAATGTATTGGAAGAGATATAAGTAAATCATTCTGCAAATGATGAGGAGCACATCCCCAATTTCGATATTCTGATCATTCTATAGCTTGGGAGAATGTCAGAATCGGATTCCTTGACCCAAAAAATGGTAGGATCACCAATCATCCATGGGATGTGAAGTGTCAACACTCCGAAGTACAATATGGACTTTCCTTGACAATTGCTGCAGTCTGATTTGTTCTTACCACCAGATGTTTTCTTGATAAAATGACCATGGATGATTGGTGATCCTACCCTTTTTTGGGTCAAGGAATCCGATTCTGACATTCTCCAAGCTATAGAATGATCAGAATATCGAAATTGGGGATGTGCTCCTCATCATTTGCAGAATGATTTACTTATATCTCTTCCAATACATTTCGGATGAATGTGGGAATTTGTACAAATGATTATACAATACATATCGTCTCTATATAACAGGAATACCTTCTCCAACCACCTAGAAATGCGTAATACAAGGTATATCTCCTCCATCCCCTATTACTCTTTTTTAACATGTATTTTTGTAGGTTTTCTTTAAATCCTTGTGTTATCCGAGGGTTTTCGAGGTCAAGAAATACACTGGTAGAAGTTCCGAAGTATTCCGAGGTACAGAAAAGTGATTTTCCATATGTGCTCCTCCTAAACTGTAATATTGTTATTACCATCGTTTATGGAGCCCAATAAAAGGTTCCTATAGTCGTTTAAGGGTTTTAAATGTCAAGGAATCTATTGGTGATAGTCCCAGACTCATCCGAAGCACAGAAAACAAAATAAACCATATGTGCACCCCAATCCCCACTTTTTTACAGTATTATACAGGTCAAATATTATAGAAGACAATGTATTCTAAGGTTTTCATAGTGTACAAATTGACTGGTATAGTTTTCAAAGCAATCCAAAGCATGCTGCATCCTAAAAATCCAATATGCTCGTCTAATCCTGGTAATAAAATGTGCCACAAGTGCTATAGAGGGATCTTTTGGGGTTTTAAAGGTCAGGAAATTCATTGGTGAAGTCCCCCGGTCGATCCAATGCATGTATCACCCTAAAAACCCCCAAAAAGCAAATATTGCAGCTATTTTTGCGAAAATCCTATATTACATGCTCTCCAGAGCCCCCATACCTCATCAGTAGGTCAGATCTTATGTTATTTCAGGTTTATGAATATTCCAGTACCATTCCCTGACCCACCGAGCACCCAGAAACCAGCCTAAATCCTATTCTGACCGGAAAATAGCCCCTATGATGCCATCAAAAATTCGGCACTGCCACTACATCCATTTTCATTTGGTCGCATCCAGCCGTTTTCGGCCAGATATTGATGGGCTGACTTCACAGGCTAATTATAGATTTTTATGAAAGGTCCCACAGAAAATTCTAGCCCATCCCAATGGGAAATGTGCCTAATATTTGAGAAAATGCGGATTTAGGCCATTACATATCAGGAGTCATATAAGTATACAACTCAGGCCTCATGGGATTGTATACAATTTAATTCCTGTGCTTACAGGGCAATTGTACACAATATTGGCTATATGGCCTCACTGCTACAAGGGATACGTATAATTAGGAATCAAAAAGTGATGGCATCCCTACAAGATACGTATAATTTGACATTACTATAGTTATAGGGATTTTTACAAAAGTCGCTCCACTATAGTTATAGGGTATTTTTGTAGCGAATGGACACTATAGCCTCGGAACATGGTGATGACCATGTCAATGAAGAGTTCGCTCAGTGAAAGAGGGATATCGCAGCACCCGAGCGAGATGGTGCTCTCTTCTTGCAGCACCAAATTCTGCTGATCATTCTCTAGGGACACGACCCCCTGACGCACGAATCGATAGGGTCCCAAGCTGAAAACCCGCGGAGCTTGACTGGGGCAGGTATCTCTCTTGGATTTCTCGAGCCGCTTCTTCGCACCCTTTTTTTTCTTGGACGAAAAAATAATGCAGTGGAGCAACCCACTAGAGGTAGACTTAAAGACGACTACTAGAGATCATCATCTGCGAGCCATGCCTGGCGCTAACATTGGGAAAGGACTGTCAAAAAAGGTCGAGGACTAGCCATCACCGACTACAGTAACAAGATGATGGCGAGAACGAGACGCTCTCGCCAACATCGAGTACGTCAGAAGCGTGCGGAGCCGAACAAAGTCCAGATACTGAGCACATCCTCAATATTCACCAGCCCGAGTGCTCAGCACTGAGGAAGAGTGATTGCCAAGCTTCGAGGATTTCAATGAGACAGTCTGTATTTATGCTTTTAGGTCAATCATATCTGGAGGAATCAATAGCTTCACCTCGGCAGCGATAATTACTACCGTATGCACCACATTAATCCTGTGCACGTGCGGCAACCAAAACGTAGTTTGGATCCAATTCGACAGACACCCTTCGACGAGCCGTCATCCCTCCCGGCCTCCAAAATTTATCCCTTCCAATCCGCGAGGAAAGCGTTGACGCCTATCATCGTGCAAGTCCGAATCCAAGATGTTACCTCTACCATAAGGAAAGCAGATGGGAAAGGGAGCATCGCGGTGTCCCGGGCAATCCTAACGAGGGGAACTTGTGTTCGTAAAAGTGGCCATGTGCCGAGCTTGAGGTCGTGATAGACGACGTCAGATACTAGAAGAGAAACAACAACGAACCCAACTCACCACGTTCAGCCGTTTATCGATCTCCACCATATTAGCAACCCTCGACGCACACCAAATCCTGGAGTCTTGTAATATCAAACGACGCGTAAGCAGATGGAAACACAGTGAAACGAGGCGACGTTACCTTGGAGCGTGAGATTGGGATCACACCACTCGAATCGCGAAGCCCACAGCCGAGAGCCTTGCATTTGTTACATCCTACCAAGCAAGAAACAGTGTCAGCAGATACGGTGGAAAGTATAACATAGAACACGTACTTCGTACCTATTCAACGAGCCTATCGCCAATTGAAGAGAAATTTCAGCCAATATGAGCAGTTACAGATTGAAATAGAGTAGTAGCCTACGAGTCGAGTCCTGGACTGAATAGTATGCACCCCAGTAATGTTGATTTCCCTACGCAAGATTAGAATAAATGAAGTTACCGAGGGGAAAAGAACAGGACTCGCCGTGTCGTCGTGGTCACTGTCAAAGTTACGAAACATAGTATTATCAACGAACAAAATCCAGTTCGGCGATAATGATCACGAGAACAAACGATCTAGCCCGCTGCTTCGACGACGAGGTGTACAGCAGGGAGGAGTAGCCAGACACGTTTTCAACAGCGAGTGCGGGGCTCGCTCCCAAGAATCAACGGCCATATCCTCCAATGGTTCTGCACTCAGTGTGTCCGGCGTCGAACCAGTTGATTTTCATCTCTGGAGAAGTCGGCAACGACTCATGGATGAAATTAAAGGTGACATTATCGAATCTGGTTAACGACAGTGTTGCGAATGCGTCTGCTGGACTCAAGCTCAAGGGTGAAGGCGACGTTGGCATCCGAGCTCGGCCTTTCCTCGTCTTCGACGGCACTATCCCCCCCTTTGTTCCGTCCTCTTCTCCACCGCCAAGACCTCCTTGGCTTACTTTGGGCATCACCTCAAGTACACGGCCCATCCTCCAAGGCGTCGACAGTTTCAAGCTTCATAGTACTGATAGCGGGTGTGATACTAGGTGAAAATAGGCCTTAGTCGCACAAAGTACTATAAAAAAGGGTCTTACCCGACGAGTCATGTCAAACGTGCTCCCAGCATGACTTTCGCCCAGCCGTGAACAATGGCCATAGCAAGCAGGAGATCAATGAGTACCGGACGGGCCAACGTACGGCCACGGTTCGTCTTCCCTCACTGTCAAATAAATTTGCAAGCAAATGCAAAATGAGAAGTAGGTGACAAGTTTGGCGTGTAACGCGTTAGCCTTCGGAGTACTTGGCGTCGACTGGTATATATCCTCCAGCTCCGATGGGGGAACGGAAATGAGAGAAGGTAGAAGATGCTCCACAACATGGTCAAAAGGAGAGTGGGGAGTGGTATGAAGTTGGCGGCCTGAAGTAAGGTTGCAAATGCATGATGTCTTAAGGTCCGGAGATTTGGACTTGCTTTGAATACGTTTCTGCATATTAGAGACACCAAAACAGGCGTATCTGGTTGAACATAGTCAATATCTTTGTACGTGACTATGGGTAATAACTTTACTTTGTAATAAGCTGGACTAGGATGATGTTCCCACTCAAATTACTCTCCCAAGTTCATGCAGGGTGGCTCGGTTACGGTGAATGACGATCGTCAATGAAAGAGTTGTCCCGTCGAATCTTGAGGCTTGATATATATGATACTTCAAGCCGCATCTTTGTTCACACGAATTTGTTCCAAGTTAATCCTGGCTATGTCAGTCAGACGAAATCCGAGTCGACTCGAGTGCGTTGCTGGCAAGCACAGCAAGTACTCAGCTGGTCGGCAACCAGGCATGATGTAATGCTGTTTTGTCGTTCGACGGATGGCGACCTGCTGGTCCGTGTGTCCTTGTTGTTTTCCCTCTTTCACCGGTAATGACAACGACGACTGTATATATGCGAGCTCAGCTCCGTGATGTCGATGAAAAACCATGACTAGGACTTACATCGACGACAACGAAGTAAATATTCTGTCCAGGCATCCCAACACGCCTATTGCGCCCTTTGCCTACCACCTCTGAAGATCTGAACGTAACCTTGCTACCCGCATCCGACTCCCGACTGCCATCTCTCTCCTTCCCTTTCCATATACCTACGGCCGTTCCATGGTACAGCAACAGATCACCTCTCTCCGTAAAGACCTCTTCGTCCGTCTACCCTACCTCCCCTCCCGCGCACTCTCTCCGGGTGTCCGTGCACCTCTCATACGCATGCATGTCCCGTCCTCGTCGCACTCTACACGTACACACATCCCAACTACACGCCCGCACAGACTAGAACCGGCCTCGTTAGTATGAAAACCTTTGCAGTGACAGGACTTACTTTCGTCAATCTCCCTATTCAGTGCCACTTTGACTGGTGCACATCGCATTAACTATAGACCATTAGCCTTGTGTTCGTACAATAAAATGATTATCCTTACCTTTGAATCCTCGTTTAAAATCCGCCTCAAGATGAACGGCACGGCACGTCTTGTGGCGGGATGTCTGTGTGCGGGGGAGATATATCGTCGACATGGCCGGTGTAAGGAAGACTGCAGAAAAATTGAGATAATGAAAAAGTAGATCAGAGGGTAGAATGTGCACCTTGGCTACCACTATCCCTTCCTAACACTGTGCAAAGCAACCAGCGAGCGGTGCCGGCTTCAGGGCCTACGCAGAGATTAGTTAGCTCATGATTCAAAAAAGGTTGATCGAAGTCCTTGCCTCAAGAAAACGAAATCCTAAGCCATATATCTTCACTGTAACGTCTGTCGTTAGTCTAGAGACTCGCAAAATAAGGAAACGAATCCCAAAACAATGTGAAGCAATCTACTGGCAGAAACGACTACTAAACTCCTCATCACCAAGCAAATTCCGGTATTGATGTTGGGAAGGGTAGTTCCAGTCAAAAAAGGGCGAGAATGGACCGCCACTGGCTACAACCAACAAGGCAAACATCCAGCACATTGTAGGGATT